AACTTAGCCACTAGAGGTCTCTCTGAGTGGTGCACTCATTCAGTGTGGGTTGCTTGTTTGAAATGGGAGGAATGCAGACATAGAAGAATAAACCTAAAGGGGTGAAAATGGAGACTTTTAAGAAATCTATTAGCCTGAACTATTTGAATAAAACAGAAATACCCTTTGTTGTTCCTCAGAAGGGAAATTCTGGAGTACCAGCAGCAAAGTGGTCGTCTGATAAAAGCTTTTTTTGGTAATTATTTCATTCTTTTAAAGAACAACTATGTTGTTCAGAATGGATGCTACAGCCATCCCTGCAGTTTCCATCCCGTTTCTGTTCTCTCCATATATTAATCTCCCGTGTTCTTCATTTGTCTCATTAAGGGTAATGAATAGTGTATGAGCTGCTCTCCCAATGACCACAGAATCAGCCACTCCTTGAATGCAAGGCCTAAAGTAGCCAACCTGTACGGCAGAAAGAAAAGACTGAAGTTTTCAGAAATGACATGATTCATTATCGAACTGGTAACTGTGGGTTAATCGAATTGGGCAGAAATTAAGTTTTGACTCCACGTCCATGTCTTAAATGCAACCTATATGCTTCTTCAATCAGGTTAGAATTAGTTTATGAACTACACAAAGCATTTTTTGTAGAGAATCATTCTCAGATAGTGAGATTTTAGTCTGGTCATTTCTTCCTAGCTACGCCGCCAACTCAACATTTACACTCACACATGAAAATGGCTGCAACCAGATGTACAGCTACGCAACCATACATCTTTGAAAAGCATAAGTATAGCCTTCTGCACAGCCAACAAGAATGCTGCAAGCAGTTTTTTTAGATGGTAAGTCAACAAAACACTTTTCCAGCACCAGCTGAGCAGCGCATACAGCGGTGAAACCAACCGACCAAACGGGCTGCGGCGCCGCTTCGGTTGCTAGGTAACAGAGCTGAGCTCTGCTGGGGTTGCTAGGTAACAGAGATGCGTCTGCTGATTTGTGACGTCACATCCTGGAGGTTTGTGAAACGGCTCATTTTTCAGAAACAAAAAAGGATTCAGTTATCAGCCAAAGTTGGGACTCAAATGGAAGCATGAAAACATAAAAAAAATTTAAATTTTTGAACAATAGGTCCCCTTTAAATTAAAAATTAATGATGGGTAACCAGTATTTTTTGATTAGCTCTTTGCAGCCATTCACTGTTTCACTCTGATTACATTGAAGACTCAAGTCCCAGACCTCAAGTTCAAGTTAATTTTTTAGTCCTTAGAGCGGGAAATGTGCTGAAATGCTAAAAATACAACATTACAGTAACATAGATTTTGAAAACCCCATATATATTTTATTGAACTCTCTTCTTGCGCTGTGGATAGAGTCCGGCCTGAAAGTGGATTGTGAAAAGATACAAACTTGTCCTTAAAGAAGTTGCAGTGAAAATTATATCTGTCTCATATGTGATGTGTGTCTGGGCTCCTGCTCAGCAAACATTTGATATTTTCCCTTATTGGTCTAATAATAAATATCATGGACATATTTTCTAGGACTATTTTGTCTTTATTTAGTCTATAAAAATACACCAATTATTGATGACATTATGACCAGTGAGAGGTGACATGAATAACATCAGAGCTTAATTAAGTTCATTATGTCATCAAATTTAATGTGCTCAACCAGGAAATGGGAATCCATAAAGATTCGAGTGAAAGGAGCCGAATTGTGAAAGCCAGAATAGTCAGAGTGTCTCTGAAAACTGCAGCTCTTAAGGGGAGTTCCCAGCCTGCTGCTGCCCAGAAAAGGAACAGTGTTGAACCAACGGCAAGGTCAAAGGTTAATTGTTGCTAATGGGGACTGAAGGCTGGCCAGCATGGCCTGATCCTGCCGTCGGGCTGATCGCTGAAGGCGTTAACGCTGGTTGGCTTGGAAAAGTTTAAGAATTCATCTTGAGTCACATTTTGGAAGCAGATTGTTCACTTAGCAGGTCTTGATGCTCAGTTTGGAGATTTGCTTTTTTGTTTTTTGCCTTGTCTTTCAAACGACTAACTAAAAGTGACCACAGTCAGACTTCTGTGTGAACGATTTAGAAAAAGACAACTTGCACACGCAGTGGAACGGTGACAACAGCTCGTTGTTTGCAGAAGTAAAAACATTGGTTACAAAAAAACATTTTTGGAAGTTGTCTTTGTTTTTTCATAACTGAATTAGGACTCTTTTGCACCACCAAATCCAAAACTGACATCCATTTTTCTCAATCGGGTCAGGTTTTTATTCTAATTTGATTTAGAGAAATCTGATCTTCTGACTAAATTCATGACATTTTTGTGACATTACCAGTTAATTTCCGTTAAGATTTCTCATCCCAAAAAGGTTTTAGGAGAAAAAAATTTGTTTTTCTAACTGATACATCCATCCATCCATTTTCTGTTCACCATTCTCCCTAACGGGGTCAGGAGGTGCTGGTGCCCATCTCCAGCTGCGTTCCGGGCGAGAGGCGGGGTTCACCCTGGACAGGTCGTCAGTCTGTCGCAGCTATAATTTGGGTAATAAACAGAGGTAATGGTAAGTACGTGTAAATTGAACATTACGTCTTCATTGTGCAAAATTCAGAGCATGAGCTTCTGTTTCTTTGAACGGCAGAAGAAATGTCTTCCTCCAGTAATCAGCCATCATGACTGGATCCCAAACTAATACGTAGCTTTGTTCAGAAAGTTGACCCGATTGAGCAAAACCAACATGATTTTTGGATTCAGCCCATCAAAATGACCGTCAAACAGTTGAAAACCAGACAATTCTTTGGTCGTTGACCAGCATAATGAATGGAGCGATCCATTGATCGACTTTAAAGATATTCAGCAATGGGAGCCGACAAAATGATCACAAAATCATAACAGTCTCCACCACCTAAAACACCAACAAAGGGTTTGTGGAAACCAGAAGAGGTAAGAAAGTAAAAGTTGTTCTGGTTTTCTTTCGCAGCTGGAGCTGCGTACTCGGTTTAAATGGGGAAAACCTGGCGCCAAGATGCATCATGGGAAGAACGAAAGAAAACCAGGTGTTACTTTTGGAAGCAAAATATTATTCCTGATTCAGAAAAAGCAAAGATTTGGGAACTCAACTAATGTTTTCCCATTTGATCAGCCATTTTGTATTTGGCTCCTGGTCAGTTTGCCTTTCAGATCTCCTCTTCAGAGATACACATTCATATTTTGCTGCTCCCTTCTGTCTTTTCTCTCATGCAAACAAACAATTGTGAACCCATGAACTCAAACCAGGGTGTATTTTTAGTTTTAATCAAGTATTTTTATAAATCATGGCCTTCAATGGTTAAAAAAATACCCACATCTCACATGCACCCAAATGAAAGCTTTGTGTTATTCTCTGCTTCCAACTATTTGGATTTCAATCTGCATTTGGAGCTGTCAGATTTTAGGAAATGTGTGAGGTTATGAGCCTTGATTAAGACAAAATGAGTTCTTGTAATAAAATAGATTTTATTGGTGTCAAAGAGCAGCTTTTTTTTTTTAAAACAGTGGACCCTGAAAAACAGATCATCTGCTGTCAAAGTGCTTCAAAATCTCCCTCTAGTCGGTGTATTCTGAAAATGTCAGTCACAGACAGATGGAGAGGTTAGGTCTCAAGTTGCTGTGCAAAACTAAAAACTTCAGACTTGACTAAACCTTGTGACTGAAAGGCTTGTGGCTCGAGATACACTTGTAGTTTGTAGACTCTAGTCTTATAAACAAGCTTTTCTTCAAATAATTAATAGTGAAATTAATTACAGACAGGAATTGTGATGTATGCACATATTTTACTCTGAAATAATATGTTTAAATTACTGCCTTCCACATCTCCTGCTGCAAAGCTAGCTGCATCATTTAACGTATATTATGAAATTTAAAAGCACACCTTGTGCTCTTTATTCAGATATATAACTCACTACGCTGTGCCTCACTCACCACGGCTCAAATTACAAAAGTCTAAAACATTAAACATGCTTAATGTTCAAAACAATGTTTTAAAATGTAGATTTATGGCAAAACATTGTTAAAACTCTTCTGCATAGTAGAAAGAAATAAAACTCAAAACTATGTAGTTCAGTATCAAGACAATATGATAACATAGATTCATTACAATAACTAAATAAAAGTCAGCTTGTGGGATTTATTCTGAAAATTCAACACTTTTTGCTCCTGGAACTCAAATCCTCATTTCTACATGGATAAATGTGACCATGTTCAAAATATAGCACTATTTTTCATGATGAATTCAATGTCAAAAGGTTAAATTAAAAAGGTTTATAAATGTCTTAAACGCTGATAAATAAAAATTATGACATTTTAAAGTTTTAAACTCATAGCTGGTAGTAATGGAGAGTTATTGACAGGATCCGAAGGTAGAAAAAGCAAAATGGTTTAAATTGACCAAAAACATTAAGACAATTTACAATTTCTCATCCCTGTTTCACTTCTTTATGCTTCCAAATGATTATCAGGCTTGTGTTGTGTCACTTATCTCTCTTCAATGAACTTCAGACATGCAGACAAACAAAAGGTTATCAGTTACAGCAGACAAAACAGAGAGTGTGTGTGGAAATGCGCTCTTCGGGAACGTAAGTCACGCATAACTGCACGCAGACATGACAGCTTTTTTTCTGTTTGTTGTTTTTTTTTTTTTTCCAAGACATGGAGGAACCACCCGCATCCTGCCTCCATTCAGCTGCGGTTATGAATGAAAAGGAAGATCCGTCAATCATTCAAGTATCCATTCATCCACTCTGGTTATTCCTACACTTTCTATATGATCAGTTCGAAATTCTGATTGTGTTCTTGCAATAATAGTAAAATATTTTACAAAATGTTATCAATACGAAACATTTCCCCAGGTTCTTCCAGCTGTGTTGAGCTGGACTTGGCAGCTCTGGATCAGATTCTGATGCGCATTTCAGAGGCGCACAGCGGCTCTCCGGTCACGCAGGCAGCTGTTGCGTTCAAATCGGCTGGAAACAGGAAACAGACACTTACAGCTGGAGCCTCCGGAGACACCTCCATGAGCCGGTGCGGGTTGATGGAGCTGATATTCCAAGGCGCGCTGCCGGTCGGGTCCGGTGTCGGAACCACCGGTCCGATATGGAGCCTGGAGTCCATCCGCGGACCAAACAATGGTAGAGCCTCTAAATGTGCAAGAGAAGTTTATTTGAGATGTTTTGAGCTTGTCTTTCAGGAGTCCGAGCGGCCGGTCATCCTCTCCATCCGGCTCCTACATCCTCCTCAGAGAAACTGGAGCGCAACAGCTGTGCAGCGGCGGGAAACACTGCGCGCTCTCTCTCTCCTCCTCTCTCCTCCTCTCTCTCTACGTCTGTCTCTTCCTCCGTTTCTCATCCTCTACCCGCTCCGGGGAATCCTCAGACTGTTAGTGGGTCCCTGTGCTGTGTGCACAAATAGATCTAACCTTTGTCCTGTTTATTTGTTTCATTGGACTTTGAAGAAATCAGCAGTTCTTTCTTGATTTGTGCCACAATTTCATCCCTGACTGTCCAAACCCTGCTGATCAATTTACAAACATCCCCATTGATCCGTAGATCCATGGTCAGGAAAAAATAAATCTATAATCTGAAAAGTATGCTGCATGTTTATGTCAAATCTGCTGAGACGCCACCAAGGCATGCAGTGGTTGGGTTATAAACAAATATCCCAAACTCTATAAACATCTGATCAATTATGTGGCTCAGGACATGGACATTCATCTAAACTGACAAGTTGGCTACTGTTTTCTAATACGCTTGCATATTTTTAAATTTTCTTTAAAGAATAGTGTCTAAAAAGTAAGACATAAAAGAAAGAGGGCATGATTAAATAAGTTTACACTTTCTTTTCAAACAAAGTTCAAGATATTTGACATGCCACTCTTTTTAGCTTCAATTATGAAATAAAAAGCGTCGTTTTCCTTCGACTCTGCAGCCGTACACGACTTTGGGTTAACCTGATAACTTAAATCCAAACACAATCTATTCAGGTATGTCATGAACATGGCAACAGTTCATGGAAATGTTTAAAGGAAAGACTTGTGACAGAGATAAGTTTGAGATGCATCTGAGGCGCAGCGACACAGCTTAAGAAATGGATTGTAGAGGAAGGATTAGAGTTTGTACTTCAGGCTTGATTTAGACAGATTTTGAGATGATGTGCATCTAATATTCTAATCCCACACAATAACAGAGATGATGAGGAAAAGAGTTGGAAAAGGGATAACAGAGTGAAGGAGGTATTAACAGAAATGCAGAACTCAAGATATTGTTTCCATGTCGTCTCTTTCGAAAAAACAATGATTCTAAGTGGACATGGGAAAGGAAACAGGAGTTTCCTTTTCACAGCACTTATTTTCAATGCAGACTAATTCTACACATCACTCTCACAGCTTAGAAATATTGGTAACATTTCATTTGACGGGTTGTGAATAAGACTGTCATGACATCGTCATAAACATGACATAACACCTGTTACGAACATAAAGGAGTCTTCAAAAAGTATTCATATGAGTGTCATTGTTTACCCAATGACAACACCGACTCCTTCATGTTCATATCAGGTCTTATGTCAGTTTATAACTGTGTCATGCCAGCCTCATGCACACCACTTCAAATAAAGTGTTACCACGAACTAGCAAAAGAAAATAAGTGTTTTTATCCCAAACAGACCAAAATGCCGCACAGAAAACATAAAAACAATAAAATTACAAACACAGAATAATAATGATAATAATAATAATACAAAATACTTTGAAAACACACATAATCAGCCATGCAAATGAACTATATAAAGCATCGAGCTTAAAGAAAAACAGGCAGAGATGGAGCTTGTCTATTTTACAGAGGAAACATGGACCAGGTGAAATGCACGGAAGACGGGTTCTGATTTTAGAGCAAAACGACACAAATGTTTTTTCTTTTTTTTATGTGACTACACACTGATACATCAATCAACCAATCAAGTTTATTTTTATGGAACATTTCAGCAACAAAGGGCTTTATGTCACAAAAACACAAAAATACAAACCCAAAAAGTAAAACATTACATTTTGCCAAGTGCGATTGTTACTAATCAAAATGTTGGTGAGCGTTTCCTTTATTGTGGCTCAATAGCAAATCCAAAACAGGCGGGTTTTCAGTCTAGATTTAAAGGAACTCAGTGTTTCAGCTGCTTTACTGTTTTCTAGAAGTTTGTGCCAGATCTGCACATAAAACCAAATGACAACGTAGCAGAAAGACCAACACACACACGCATGTTCACTCAACTTTACACAAATGGTCACATTTTAAATATGTGGTAATTATACATATAACTCAGTGTTTTTTTCTAGTTAAAGTTTTTTGTTGCCTACAATAAATGAATTAGAAAGCAACAGTGAAAAATTTATTAAATTCAACATGCTCAATCCCCTCTGCTGGACAGAAAGACCAATAATCTACTAATTTAAGTGTCAGAGAATCATTTCGCCCCTGATGTTTCCCAGTCGTTCTTAAAGAACGTAAGCATGACCATCCTGTTGGGTGTTGTTCGAAGTCACAAACTCATGGCCTACTTCCATTTATCTTTTTGGTTGTTGTTGTTTGCACATTGTGACACATAAACCTCTACTTACATCAAGCCATCCAAAATGTCCACTTACTTTTAGTCTCTCAAAAGCTCAAACGCTCTCATGAAGCTTACAGGTCAATTTTAAAGCAAGCACAGTTTTGCAAAAGCATTTCTATCCTTTGTAGCTAGCACAATGTGAATGATTTTGTTACAGACAATTGTGCAGGGGAAGGAAATTTATTTTTTAATATTTTGGGGGGAAAAAAAATTCTGAAACGTGTTTTTATTTCTTTTTTACATACTCAGTTAAAATTACATCTGGGCCAGTCAAACACATGAATATGATTGTTTTAGCTAAACGGTGATCAATTCCACGCTGCGTTAATCGGCAGCGTCCTGCGTTTTTAAATGTTCCCCAACTCAACACACTTCAATGCAATAAATAGCAGATTACAAGGTCTCTGAAAAAAAAACCTTCATGATTTACTGATGAGGTAATCCAGCCGTTAAATCAGCTGTGTTGGAGCAGAGGAACATCAGAAACATGCAGGATGAAGGCTGCGTCCTCAGTGCTTCTGCTCTGAGCTGCTCCACATTCCCCTGATTAGTTAACCTGCATTCCATGTCACTCTGCACTCTCCCAGCAGTGTTTAAACTCACTGGTTTCCATTGTGCTTGACTAGTTGGTTGCATGTCCAGCTTTCCTTATGCAAGATCTGTGAGTTTTCTGCTTCTGTAGTTAAACCTCCCAATATCCTGTCTGCATTTTGTCCTTCTCTCACCACATAAAGTTGGATTCATACACATGCGCATCTACATTTTATATGTAATTCACTAAATACTTGAACATTTCTGGTTGTAATGAGACAAAGTGAGAAAAAGTGATCCTTTTGTAAGGCAGTGTAAAAATGTCTCCATTGCTGCTTTAAATTCAGTCGCGATGACTTGGGTCTGAAAAACTAACAGTGGATTAAATTGAACCCAGTGGGAAATCAGTTTCTTGCTCTGTGTTAAAACAGGAATTCAAAGACGAGACATTGCAGCTTTGCTTCTGTCACAACAATCATGAGTCAAACACACAACAGATTGATGTTCGCTTCGTTCTTCGTTTACGTCACTTTAACTAACAAACCCGTCCTTCCTGCATTGCTGCTGTGCATTTGTTAAGACATTTTTTACAAAGCTGCAGCAGAGAGACCCGCGGTGTAACTGGTCCCATGATGCCGCGTTCTGGCTGATATTAAGAGGATCAGAATCTGGGTCTGGACTTAACAAGCATTATACAAACAGAACAACTAATACAAAGAAGAAAACAATGCCACTCTGTGTGGAATGATCCTTCCTGTCCTTTCACTCGTCGTTCCTGATTCCTGGTCTGGGCTGTCCAGGTTTCACCCAACTGGGCCGAGCTCCTTCAGGCCGAGTTGTTCATTTTGTACAGGATGTTTTATGTTTGCTTGTCGTTTCACATGTCAATAAACACCTTATATCCACTGGAACGGTGCAAGAAGCTGATAGAACAACATTCCTCAGAGAATGTATGTTGACACAATGAAAACACACAAATATTTGTGGCTGAACAAACCAAAGCCTGGAGGAATGATCCAGCTGAATGCCAGATGAGATCTCTTAAATGGAACCCATTATTAAAAATAAAAAATAAAATAAAAAATCACATTTTACATGTTTTTGTTCCTCCAAGTGGGTCTCAACAGCTTCTAAAACAAACTCAACTGCTTGAATACAAACACCAAGCCACTTTTTGGCAAAATATTAAAGGGGTTGACCTGAGTGAAGCTCTCACCTTCTTCAAATCAGACAAAACTTTGCCAAACGTTTCTGCAGCTATCATTTTAAAGATAGTGAGAAATGTTTCCAGAGGTTATGAAAGGTCAACCAGCCGCCCCACCTTCTTCAAATCAGACAGAGTTGGTGTCAATCAACTCAACTCCATTTTTGCTGCTTTGGCTTCGAAGACATTAATGAAAGTTTGAAGGTCATTTTGATTTTGTGAAAGTCGTGGAGCCGGTTGACTTTTACATTTTCATTAATATCTTCAAAGCCAAAGCTGCACAACTGTAGTCGAGTTGATTCACACCAACTCTGTCTGATTTGAAGAAGAGAGCATTCTAACAATCTTTAAAATGACGGCGGCACAAACAAAAAGTTTTGCTGCATAAACGTTTGAAAAACTTTTTGTCTGATTAGAAGAAGATGGGCTGCATGATTGGCTTACCGTTTGGAAACTGCTTGCTACATTCTTGTAGGTTGTGCAGGAGCCTCCACTTCTGCTTTTTAAAGGTGTAGAGTTGTAAACTAGTGCGTCTGTTTGAATCCATTTTTATGTGCGAGTGGAAATGTTGAATTATTTGGATCTAAAGTGACAAGAGCCCCTAAAGCAGTTCATTCAGAAACAAGCTCATAATAGGCAGAACTGACCAGAACTAAAAGGTCATTATCTATGAATGACTTTGTACAAACAATTTAATTAGCATGTTTTGCACAGACCATAGACTCATCCTAACCTGGTCAAGGAAGCATAATTGGTTCCTCTTAAATGCTGTGAAGTGATTCAGCAAAAACAGAATCCTCTTCAACACTATTTGGGCTTAAACACTCGCTCTTCACCAGAGCATCAGAGGGTGCAGAGAATACCAATAACACTAATCAAGTTTGAAGTTCTTTTTCTGACACTGGCGAACATGCTGTTGGCAGAAATATATAAGATACATAATTTAGTTTCCATTAATTCAATGACATCGGCTTTAACGTGATTTAATTTAAATGTACAGATGGCGTCGGCTGCCCTCTGAATAAGAAGGGAACCGGAGAAACAGCCACTGGTTCTTTAAAACTTTGCACCATTTTCTTGGAAATACAAATTCTCTTTATTTTCAAGTTTGATGAAGCACTTTTAGTTGCGCTAAAAAGAAAGAAGAGAACTCTGTTTCATCAAAACGCCATTTTGCACCGCAGCGTTTCTGGTTGTTTCATGTTAAGCTTTTCCCAAATGTAAAACGGTGCAAACTACTTCTGGACTTCACTACAGTGAAATAAAATCATACTATCACCAGAATAAAGTTGCAGTAAAACCTTTTTCTCATAATACAAGTTTATGCTTGTATTTTTCGACTGTAGTCTTATGATACTATGACTTCATTCTCATATTGCAATGGCTGAGTTTGTATAATTTTATGGCTAAAATTTATGACATAAATGAGTTTTTTTACTTTTTATTTTTCCTTCGTATTGCCCTAATACTTCTTAAACCACCTAAGGATCAATTCTTACCTACAAGAGCA